AATTAAACAAATGTTGGTCCCAAATTTGATTTCCCTATATAAACTATATTAAAGTTTACCCCCTCCCCAGGGAGAAACGTGAGACCCCAGGGTCAAGAAATTCACAATTTTAGTAAATCACCTTAAGACCCTTCTATCTATGAAGAGTATTTGATTTTACCATATCCGGATCTTGAGAAGAAGATTTTTGAAATTTTAGTCAATTTTACCCTTTTTGGCCCTGCCCCTCAGGCCCCTGGGGGCTGGGGACCATATAATTCACAATTTTAGTTGACCTTTGGCCATGGAAGGTTTCTGCAAAATTTCATTGAAATTGGTTCAGGGGTTTTGGAGAAGAAGTCGAAAATGTAAATTGTTTACGGACGCACGACGGACGACGACGGACAAAAGGCGATCACAATAGGTCACTTGAGACTTTGTCTCAGGTGACCTAAAAACTCCCTATCTTCGGGTTAATAGACTTGGTTTCTTGGGGGCAGCATATCATCCAATTGTTGTGACTTTTACTCCTGACTGTATTTTGCAAAATATTCTCGTTGAAATAAAATGATTTTATTTCTTTGTATATATGTGTTGAGTGATGTTGATCTGTAAAGGCTGATGTTTATCAACCATGTACAGGTCTGAAGTGCCCTACTGAGTGGCAGGTAGGGCCATAACTATGCAATACATCCGACAGTATAAAGTCATTATTATTTCCATTTTTAAAGTATACCTTAATGAGGACAAACCAATTGCATTATTGTATGCTGATTGAGTGGTTCTTAACTTGTGTTGTCAGCTGTAAGTGGGATAGACAAACTTTCATTCCTACAGCCCAGTGTAGAGCAGCAGTGATCAATGAGAGCCTTGTAATGTGTGTATTATTTTCCTGTCATGTGAACTGGTGGTTCCACCAACACTGCAATGTGTATATTATTCTCCTGTCATGTGAACTGGTGGTTCCACAAACACTGTAATGTGTATATTATTCTCCTGTCATATGAACTGGTGATTCCCCCAACACTGCCTACCTCTTGATCTGATCAAGCTGTGTAAGAAGGGCGTTGACCACCCTTATGGCGTCTGATGGTTCACTACCAGACATAGCACTCTTTCTTGCCGATGTTAAACTCTCAACCTAAACAAAATAAAATGTAAACACCAGATTATTACAGAGACATGTCCCTGAGGAGTCTAAAGTAAGTTTTATCAAAAGCTCACAGTAATCAGGTCTATTTCTGATAAACTTTGCTTACGTAATCTAAATACAGTCTAGATATGATTGTCAATGCTCAGCATCAGGACACAAGTAACTGGAGTTCGGCCAGCTAGTAATACAATGTAAGCATTTCTGTAAATAATTAAGACAATTTCAAATTAAAATCAACTTTCCTTACCTCATCAATGAGCACAAACACAATGGCCTCCTGGTCATCAATGAGTTCCTGTATCTTCTGAAACATCTTCATTACCAGCTTACCACTCTGAAAACACATTACAAAACATTTAGAAAACTTGTTTAGTAAGCTACCTTTATACAAAAACAAAGATTTACAATGTATTCTATATACAGGTACATCACAATCAATATTGTGTATGAAGTTAACATTTGTTGGTGACCTTAACAGGTCACTTGGCCTGTGATAAAAATTGGAAATGAGACTGACCGTTGTTTACTATTTCATATGCTTCACATAAGAAAAAACAACAGAACCATTTAGAAAACAATTTAAAAGATATTATAAAACATTTAGAATCGGTTGAAAATATTGATTTTGATAAATTAAAGGAGAAAAAACAAGAATTAGAAAATATAAGATTACATAAACTAAAAGGTAGCATTATTAGATCTAAAGCTAAATGGGTTGAAGAGGGAGAAAAGCCAACTAACTACTTTTTTAATCTCGAAAACAGAAATTATACCTCAAAAATAATTCCAAAAATAGAAAAAGAAAATGGGGATATAATAACTAATCAAAATGAGATACTTAAAGAAGTTAAATTATTTTATGAGTCTTTATATACCAATGATGATAATATAGATGATGTTAATTTAGACAACTTTTTACATGACTTTCATGTTCCTAAACTGAATAATATAGAATCTGATAGTTTAGAGGGCATTATAACTCTTAAAGAAGCATCACATACATTAAA